CAAAACAACCAACTAACCACCAACAACAAACCCCCCCCATGTATTTGCATTCACTGCAATACAAGGACCATTTCAGGAATGCGTAATGATTTTCTGAATTCTGATTTAGATCCTTTTACAATTCTCCCTTAAGCTGAAGTTGATGGCTCTGTTCAGGAACTGATATGTCTTCACGGAGTTCCACTCTTGCTACTTGCTTTACAGCAACCTATGTCCATTTTCTTTGTTTACATGTTACAAGTTATAGCTACGCACGTGGTGTTCTCTGCCATCCTTGGATATCAAATTCCGAAGCCTGTAAACCTGCCCTTTCACTTTTAACACTCATGCTAATTCACATGCAAGAGCAAAAACACAATTTTAAACTATCTAACAATGTTTTTGTTAACAATTTCCTGTATCATAAGAAGAAATATAAATTAAAAAGGAGGGAAGAAAAAAAGGCTGCCTAAGAGAACTAATAGTTTTTGAATAATAATAATAATACACTGGCAGAATTGGATTCGGGATTTCAACTTTTATAAAGATGTTAAGATGTGAATTAAAGTTATCTTTTATTTCTGATTTTTTCCTGAAGCTCCGAGAAGTAACACAGCCATGCTTGTCAAGCAGTGTTGTAAATTGTCTCAGGCCTAACATTTGCACATTAGATATCTGACTCTATTGCCATGTGATGCTATTCTCCCTCTGCCTCATAAACTGTTCTCTCTGGGTAGCAATGCTGCCAAAGGGAAGAAGTATGCTGACCAGCTGTGTCACATCAATTGGTCAAGTCAACTCTCATAACAGCAAGAGAACTTAGAATCCAAAAATCTCAATGTTGTCTTTGCTATCAATCAGAACTTATGTAAAAACAAAAGATGATGCAAGAATTATCAATAACTTCCCCTAATTACAATAATACTAAACGTCATGAACTGAGGATCTCCAATAAATAAAACTCTTTTGATATCAGGTCTCTCAAAAAAAGTCATGGTCTCAAAGCAGTTTCTTAAAACAACTTAAAAAATGTTTTAACATAAATAATAATGAAATTCAAAAGTTATTAGAGAAAGACCGCTACATATTTGAGAAGCAACACCTGTATTTGTCATTGAAAAACATAAATATATCTGTTGTAACTTCAAAAGAAATCTGTTCTGCTTTTGGTTTAAGTTTTGATTATTTAAAACTAATTCTCCAGAATTCTTTGCTGGGGTACTGGGAAAACAGCTATACAGTACTTGTCATTACTGAAGGATATACAGACATGATTGAGACCCGCTGTAAATTAAACCATACATCAGCAACTCCCACCAGCTACAGGCTATCAGGTTAGCTACTCTTTCTCCCCACCCCTGCTTCTTCCTTTTTTTCCACCTCTTAATTCCCATTTCATTTAAAAAGGCAACACTGGACAAACAAAACACAAAACCACTATGCAAAGGAAGCTTTTAAGAATATTTCACACAACTGTTTTCAACACTTCTAGTAGCAGGCAAACAACTTCACAAAAAAGCACAAGGAACCAGCTGAAGTAGATACATAGAATCTGAGCAATCTCAACTCTGTAGGCATTTCAGCCACAGGTTTGCACCATCACTATGGTCACATCAGGGCTCCTCTAGTTATTTCCTCCATTAAAAGTACAACACATGAGCTACAGCACACATGTACACTGAGGCCTCACTTGAGCTAAAATTTCTAATTGTCCTATCTTTAAACATGTTACAGAAGATTCATTTTATCTTAAATACGGTGTCCGAGTTCTCAACAGAAAACAGAGGTGAGTTGTGTTCAGATCTTGTGCAGTACAAATTGTGTTACTGCCACTTGGAAAAGATAATCCATGTAAATAAACAATTAGCCAATGGGGAGACACACTATATAAAGGCCCATTTCAAGAACAATCAATTAGTAAGACGCCAGCAATACATTTCAGATTTTGTCTTCCTCTATGGTCAGTCAATAATTAAGTATTGAACAATTTTTAAAGCAACTGTATTATATTTGTGCATCTGAATTTGTTCTGTGCTTTTAGAAGAGATATGGCAACAGCTGAATTTTGAACCTCTTTACGGACACTCTTCAAAATGAGATCTGTTAAAAAGAAAAAAACCTAAACAACAAAACTAAAGAGTCCAAAACACCAAAACCTACAATTCTGTTGCAGATTTGAGTTCTAGAAACAAACTGTGTGTTTGAAATTTTTATTAATATAAAAAAGTTTTAATCAGAACTTTTTTAGCCCCTCAAAACAATATCTGGACTAATAAGGTGTGTGTCACATGAATAAGTATGCCACTTTCATTAAAGTCCATGTAATATATTTACTGTGGTCTACAAGGATTTACTGGAAGTAGCGTAGGAAATATAGTGGCCCAATTTTACCCCTGTTACAACCACACTGAAATCAATGCAAGAAATCATTTCAATGAAGCAAAACCCAACCCCTCCCCAAGGGCTAAACAGTACGTGTAAAACTTCAAAATATATTCATGCATATCTTGTCTTACACTCACTATATACCCTTCTGCCTATATCTGTCATTAAGTACCATGACATTTGTGATGATATACTTTCAAAATCAGCCCATGTATGCCAAATTCTTGTATTCTGATTTTCTTTATTCTTATCAAGTAACATGATTATCTCAAAGGGAGCTGCAATGCCCACAACAGGGAGGTTGAAACTAGACGATCTTAAGGTCATTCCTAATCCTAACTATTTTATGATTCTATGTACTCTATCCACCTCATGAAGTTTGTATATCTTTGTTACCCAATATTGACCATAAGATATCATATGTCAGTGACCATACCATTTAGAATGATATATCTCAAATGAATTGGTTTGTCTTTTGCAGTGGAAGAATGGACTGTAGGAGATAATTTATTTGGAAAAAAATGCACTCAAAACCCTAGAGATTTGTCTGAAAACAGAAAGCAACAACCTTGGTCCCAAGCTATATAACCAAAATACAATCTAGAAATTAATACACATTTTATTTTCATTCATTTAGGGCACCTATGCAGAAGCCTGTCATTACATTCTTGAGTAATGCAATTACCCTAAATCATAAAACCAAAGTAAGTTCACATACATGCTGTTGGCATATTTAATATTCTGCAGGGTATTCACAATAGGTATCAATGAAGTACCTCATGGAAAGCAAGAAATATCCATATTCCATTTTGTTTCTTTATATCATTCAAATAGATTTTGGGAATAAAAACAACTGGACCAAATGAGAGGGAAACCCCAGAAGAACATGCATTCGTACCAAACTGATTACAGAGAAAGCTTTTCACACCAGTGATACAGGGTTATTTATTATCATAAAATACTGACTTCAGCATAAAAACAAACAAACAAAAACAACAAAAACCCCCCAAACAAAGAAAAAAAATCCACCAACCAAACCACACACAAAATAAGGGTTTTTTTTTCACTTCTAACAAGTTAATCCCTGTTTTTTTTGGCCATGCTACTACTGGGGTGTGATTTAAAAAAACGGTATCTGAACATGCTAATATTCAGCTACTAGAATAATAGTTAGCTATCAAACTGCTGACAGCTTATTCCCCCAATTAAAACTGAAAACCATTCATTTCATGACACATATCAACATGTAATCAGATGTAGTAAAAGCTTGTTACAAAAGCCAAAGCTCATATTTTTGTGTTTTCTATGTTTTAGCTGTGCTGAGACAAAGCACTGACTTTTCTTCTTGGTTCACAATGGGAGCATACTCTGCTTACAAGCTTAACTACTGTGAAGCCTTGTTGTTAGTGTGAAGAATCACAAAAACATGTGTAAGAAGGCAGATAGGATTCAATACCTTTCTCAATGTTCAAAATGTGGTATTTCCAACTGTTCGTCAGTTCTAGTCATTTCCCTGGAAGTGTAACAACTCAAGTTTAAGATTTCACTAATAGGGATAAATACTCAGCAGGTTAGTGGGAAGGGAGAGTGATACTCCATGAACTAGTTGGTACAGGAGCCTTTTTCAGGCTTCATTTTTAAAGGACCCTACTATGTCATCTAGATTTTTCAAGTAATAAAGGCAATTTATCCTTATAATGAGACCATTTCTATCCAAAAAGATTTCAGGTGGCTGACTTTAAGATGCACAGGAAAATATTTCCTGTTGCACAACATGCCTGTGATTGCAAATTACCTACTAATGTAAAGAATAACAGACTGCTGCATTATGCAAACCCCTCCTTATTCTTTTGCATCCCTGTAAATGCAGCCACTTTCCTGGTTTGATTGTACTGCACACTGTAACAATGGGTTTCACCTAACAAGCTATTCAGAAAACTCTTACACAGTATGCAGGGCATCTCAGCCCGTTTCCTTGCTGCTAGAAGTAACATGAAAAATGCTTTCAAACATCATCTGAGACAAGAGTACTTAGAAGCACCTTAAATTCTCATTAAATATTCACTAGGCCTGTCCACAGTATCAGTTTTATTGTGGTCCCAAACACAGTTAAGCCATGTACTACTGCTGCAGGAATCAATGTCTTGAAGGAAATCTCCTCTCCCACACACAGACTGAGTATTTTCAAAGTCTCACACACGAAGAAGAAAAAGAAAGGGGGGAGGGAAATCACAGCTAGAATTTTAAAAAACTATTTTCTTTTAGCAATTCTAGACCTACATTATAATCACTGTGAGATAAATGCTCTAACCTCCATCTGCACCATCCCAATCTTTCTCCTCCCACATCAGTGCTGAATTTGCAGAACAGAAGAATGAATAAACTGAGAACATAAAAAAATATTTGAGTTAGGAAGACTTGCATGTGGTTTGAGAACAGCCCTCACATCTTATTTATGTCAGATTTGACTAGGCTGGGACCTCTAAGTAGCTCCTTTCTCTGCCTTTTTGGAAATGCCATGGCCACTTACTGGAGCAACACTTCTGGAGTCCAAGCTGATGGAGAGGTAGACTAAGAGAGTACCTAGACAGAGGTCTAAAAAGAAAACAAAGGGAGGAAAATAGAAGCTGGCTTACGTGCTCCAGTTTGTCTTTCCTCCTCAACCAGACACTGGCACTGTAGTCCTGCTGCTTGACAGTGCTGTAGAAGTTCGCACCTACTCTGGTGAGGCTTGGGGAAGGCTCTCTGGGTCTGCTCTTCAGCCTCATCTGCTCGAAGCCCTCATGGGGGGATGAGGAGAGCCAGTCATGCCTGACTTCCATCTTGACATGACAAGGCAAAGTCCAAAGAAAAAAAAATCAGAAGAAATCAAGAAATTAAGAAGCACTAGATGAAGAGGGTCCAGGAAAGAACAAGATGGGGGAAGAAGGAAGAGAGGCAAAGCAAAAACGCCCCAAAAAACACAAAACGGGAAGAGAAAGGGGAGAAAAAGAGAAATAACAAGGTAGGAGGAGTAGAGGGAGAAGAAAAGGCTGCAGGTACGAGAGGAGCAGGCTGAGAGAGATGGAAGAGGAAAGAAGACGCTCCAAGATGCCGCTGCGCGTTGCCCTCGCCGCCAGCAAGCTGCAGCCCAGGACCGACGCAGCGGGACGCGGCTGCTCTCGGCTCTGCCCGGGACGGAGGTGCGGCTCCGCACAGACCGAGGCCAGGCCGGGCGGGGCTGCTGCCGCCCGCCCGCCTGCAGGTTGGCGCAGTGGAGGGGCCACCGCCCGCCCGGGGATGAAGCCGGCTCCTCCCCCGGCTCCCCCTCCTCGGCAGCCACCTTCGGAGAAGCAGAAAGCAGCACGGAAGAGCCCCGCTATTGCCGCTAGGAGCATGACTGCCACCCTCTCCTGGGGGGCAGGAGGCTCCCCGCCCCCGTGGGGAAGTTCTCTCGTCCCGAAGGACGCCAACGGGCTCCCCGGACCCCGCCGCGGGGCTCGGCGGCCGTGTGCCCCTCCGTCTCCTGGAAGCCTTTGTCCGAGCTCCCCGCACCGGGGGCGCCCGGGGCCCCGCCATCCTGCCCTGCCCGGGTGAGATGAACCCCTCGCCGCCCTCCGAACCTGCCGCCGTGAGCGGGAGGTGCGGGGCTGCAGGCCACCTCTCTGTGTCGCCCCCGTTCCTCCCTTCCTGGGCAGGGGCTCCCGGCGCTCTGAAGCGTAACCAGACCAAGCTGACAGTTCCTCGCCCCGGGGGAACCAGAAGCACACTTCAATCTGGTCAGGGGGCGAAAGTGTCAGACCCTGGGCAGCAGGAGCCTCGGGTCCAGGTCCTGCCTGAAAGCCCTCAGCCTCTGCAGGGACTCAACTAGCGCCAGACCTCAGAAATAAAATCGCCTCTGTGGTCCCGGCGGGACAATGTCGCTGGAATGCCCACACCCCTCGTTACCTGACACCCAGGTAGTGCTCTGCTAAAACAAGATGTTTTGGGGTGGTTTCTATAGTCCACTATCGTCCACTACCATCTCTTGTAATGAAGTTCGTTTCTGTTGCTATTTAGCTGAAACTTGTTTCAGCATGGGAAAAAAAAGATATATCTTTCCTTTTTCATGCTATGAAAAGCCACCTCGCTTATTGCCCACACACTCTTCAAAGCTATATTAGGCACAGATAAGAAAACTTTCTTGCGTAGCACCAAGAAATAATTATTGGAGCTCAAAACCACATTTCATTTTCTGGTGAATATTTGCTGGCAGATAATCTGTAGTTTGCCAGAGACAAACTGATGTAGCTACTCAGATACTGAAAGTCTGCACTTGAATCCAGTTCAGTGAACATAGCCTTTGAATGGTAAAACAGCTCATTCAGACTAGTTGGTAAGAACATTATAAAAGACCTATCTGCTAACCATCTCATCTGGAGTAAGCTTCACTTCCACCTGAAGTAAGAGTTAAGGTATCGTTATGGTTGGGCTCAAGGTATATTGCTATAATTCAGAAACCAGACAAATAATGAAAGTTTTCCTTTCAAAATTCTAAGGATAAAGGCAAAACTTACATCACCCCTCATAAATGAGGAGGATTATTAAGATGCAATACTGTTATCTTTACAAAATGCTGGAAAAATAAACTGAACAATAATGGGGATTGGGTAGGAACATGAAGTACAGCATTTTCCCCCAAAAAGGTAATTTTATAATATTTACCTGAATACTACCAAAAAAATCCCCAAAACACTCTGAAAGCATAACAAAATAGCAACAAGACCCATCAACGTAAATACTTTTTACTTACCAGTATAAAAAACTTGCCGCTTTCTTGCTAACAACCTCCTCTCTAATTTCTTCAGCTGATAGCATAAATCCTGGTATTTCCATTATCGTCAATACATTCTCATAACACCTGGAGCAAAAATTAAGACCATGTGACTGCATGCAGGACACACCTGAAGGCACTGAGATTTAATGTATGGCATGTCACAGCTGCAGTAGTTTTAAGCTCAAGCAGAATAACATGATTAAAAGTTCTGCTGAACTGAACTTTAGCTGTAGATACCCATTTATGAATTGTATATGCTGATAGATGCACCTACTGCCAAAGGACTTGTATACATACAGATGTTCAGTCAAAAAAAGCCTCTGAGTTTCTTCATGTGCTGTAAGGACAGCCTGCTTTATGCTGGTTTTGCATGAGAAGTTTCACATTGTTCCTATAGCAGTATAAGGTACTTCAACCTTTTCGTTATTCCTCTGGGCTTTCTTGTTTACGCTGCTTGCAAATATAAAACAAACAAACAAACAAAACACAACAGACCCACAAGAAAAGTTTCTTGTAGCGCTCTGTAGTTGTCACCTGCTTTCGTCCCCATTCCTTAATCCTACGACAGATCAGAATCAATATGCCACTGTACTTCAGTACGATATGTTTTCCCGTTCTTCCCTGTATGTCGTCTTTTCTTGGGAAGAAGACTTAGAGTTGGAAAACACAGCCTAAAGACTATAATTTTGTGTGTTTTCATAAAAACTTTAATCAGGCAAAACAAGCAGCTATGAATACAAAGTCAGTCCCTAGCAAATACATAGCCATTAATCTAATTTAAAAAGAGTTAAGGAGCTATTTCCCAGATTTTATTTTCCATCATATTTCTAGTTTGGACCTATGCAAGAGACAAGTTTGTTAAAACCGCAACCACAAGCATATCAACCAGCTTAATTCAGAGATAGCTCAACACATTAATATTCCATCAGTTCTGTAGTAGGCCAGCAATTCCAGTTGGCTGTATGCACTGGATTAAATAGCTGTCTTTCTCTTCCATGCAATTTTCAGAATTATCCAAACACCTGCTCCCATCAAGGCCTTTTCCTTCCATAGCCAGATGAGTACAGCAGCAAGGATGACTGAAAATACAAACATTGTTAGCAATAGATGCACGTCATGCATATCATAACATGATCTTACTTTACCACGGTTCATGCTGCACTCTTCTCTAATTTGCTGCCGATTTTAACATCAAAACTTGGAGAAATTCCTTCTAAGGCAAATCTACAGAACTTCCCATTTTCTGTACCATTGGGGTGAATGCTGTAGTGGGCAGGGTAAACCCAGGCCAATGTGAAGAAGATAATCAGGTGTAAGTAGAAACATAGGGCTACAATATATTTACTTAAAATAAGATAAATATATAAATAAATTTAAAAAAAGACAGCTTCTTCTTGTTCCAAAAAACTTGCCAAGTTTTAAGGGAACTTCTTCCTGTGCTCCAGCTTTCTAAGTTTTTTATGTTAAGGGGTTCTTAGCAATACAGCATATGTACAAGAGCATTAGACCTTTTACCAGCAAATGGCATATACCTAGAAATACAAAAAGTTTCTATAGCAAGAACTTATTATGGCTGGATAGCTAATATACATACATGCACACACTTGTAATAGAACCATAGAACGGTTTGGGTTGGAGAGGAACTTATCATCTATTTCCAACCCCCGTGCCATGGACAAGGACACCTCCCAGTAGACTAGGTAACAGATTCAAGGTTTTCTTACAAAGCATTAATTTATGCTGCAGAGCTGGCCTTCACACAGGCCATGGCCTGCTTTTAGAATGTACCACACCTGACTGAACCAGCAGGTAGCAATTGCCTGCAGGCTTCAGCTGGTGTCCAGTTAGAGAGCTCTGCCTGACACCAGCCTCAATAGCAGCACTGTCCTTGGCAGCCATACAGAAGGTAACTGCCCCCTTCTTGCCCAGTTCAGCTGAACTTGCTTTCTCATCTAGAAATTGCCAAGACTCAGGTAGGGTGATCTTTGTAACCTCCCCAAAACACTGGCATGTCCCAGACTAAATTACTAGTTTTTCAGGCAACTTTAGAATTACCAAACCACCAGCTCCTGCTTAGCCACCCAAATTATAGCAACCTACAGATTAAAAACCCGCTGCAGCAGTCTCTTTGCTCCCTGCTAACAGGCTTGCCATGCATGTCTCCCAGCCTATCAGCTCCTAACTCTTGGAAGCAGTTGCCATTCACTGAAACATGGGTTTGCCACAGGGAAAGACCAGGGAGAAAAGATAAAGAGGTGTTTTTTCTGTATAGTGAGATCTCATACAGTACCATGTGCAGGGTCAGAAGGGTAAAACTCACTAGATGTGAAGTAGGAAAACAGTAAGAAAAAAGTTAGAGTGCTACACGGGAGTTGTAAATAATTTCTGCATTGTATATGCTGCATACACAACCTTTGTACATTATATCTGTATCTTCAGTTTACGGACAAGAATTGAAGCCACAAGTATGTAATGGTAGGGTGAAAGCTAAGGCTACAGCAAAGATTTGGAGTTGGAGATGCTTCAGATTTCAGGCTATGAGCATATGAGACGCCTACCTCAGAAATTACATGGAAATATTGTCTAGTACTGATAATGTTCTCTGCTTTAGCCTCCACGTGTCTTTTTGGGTTCAGCTACTAACCAAACTGTTGTGTGTCTCTTGCCTCAAATTTTAACCCCAAACTCTTTCTTCTTTGCATAATTGCTGATTTTTTAAAAAGCAATACACAAAAGCAACATACAAAACAACCACCTGTTAGGAATATCATTACCCTTTGAGACATCTCTGTCATATTCAGTTGAAACCTGCCATGTGTTTCAGAATGTATCAGTCTGGGACTGACAGACAAATAGTATAGTTATATCAGCTTTGTTTCCTCTAGAAAACAAATAAAGATATCTGAGAGATCAACTAGTCCATTTCCCATTTGAAATTAAAGATTATCCTGTAAATATCGTCAACATTTCCAATTAACCTAGAACTGCAGGGCTAGAGTTTTTCTCCTATGACATCCTTTCCACCTCCATATAACCTAAGGGAACACTAAACCAGCCCCTCGGGTCCATCACCTACTGAATACATACCAGTGTGGACTGGGTTTCCCTTGCTTTCACAAGGGGTTGTGACAGAATATATAATATTTTTCATCTCAAATCCAAATCTGCCTTCTCTCTTTCTCCTCTCTCTCATCCACCCATCCCCACCCATGCACACATTGCTAAAGAACATTTTCAGTTCTGGACCTCAATAATCTTGTCCAGACAATATTTCTTCCTGCACCTTAAAATAACATTCATTAGTGGCACATACTAATGGGGCTAAATTCTGCCCTCCATTACACGTCAATGTCCCCACCAGAGTCACGAAACAAAAATAATTGTATAATGAAGGTGTAACTGGGGAGCAAAATGTGGCCTACATTTCTTTAAAATAAGACTGCAGCAAGTAATGCTTGTCCATG